CAATGGTGCATAGAGATGTCAAAAGTACGAACATATTACTGAGCAAGCAATTCTCAGGCAAAATTGAAGATTTTGGTCTTTCAAGATCTTTCCAACTCGGAGATGAATCTCATGTTTCATCCGTTATTGCTGGTACTCCTGGATATTTGGATCCCGAGTAAGTATTATTAGACCATCCCTGAATTTCCAGATTTGCGTTCACATTCATCTTGGTTGATTAAATATATACACGTGTATCTCATTCCATGTTTTTGCCTTGCTAGATACTACAGAACAGGTCGTTTGGCAGAAATGAGTGATGTCTACAGTTTCGGGATTGTATTATTGGAGATAATTATAGGATTGGACGACATTTATGCTTAATAGAGGAGATATAACCAGAATCATGGATCCTAAGCTTCATGGTGATTACAACTCTCGTTCTGTATGGAGAGCTATTGAATTGGCTATGTTGTGTGCAAACCCTTCTTCAGAGAAACGACCAAGCATGTCCCAAGTTGTTATCGAACTAAAACAGTGTCTTGCTTCTGAAAACTCCACGAGAAGTAAGAATCAAGACACGGACTCTCATAATCCCTTTGAAATGAGCATGAGCTTTGACACCAAAGCTGTGCCTAGTGCAAGATGACAGTTTCAAAGAAGCCTTGTTTGTGTCGATCATGTATTTCTGCTTAAAAAGGATAGCTTAAGGAAGTGTACAAACTCTACTGATCGATCTCGTGCTCTCTCCTTTTGTTTTATATATTGTTGAAATGTTATATTTTTAAAAACAAAGAAAAAAAATTCGTACATGATTTGCAAAAAGCAGCAATGATCTCGTACTCTCATGTATATCATGACTGTTGTCTGGAATAGTTGGACCAAATAATTACAAACTAAATTTTATCCCGTACATCAGCAGTGGAATTTTGTTTTAATCATTGTATAGAATTTATGTTTTCTTTATGAATATAATTTTTTAATAAGTGATATATAAAAAAATTTGTGTTTAGATATATATATATATATATATTTTTAACCTTTTTTAGTATTATTAGCCATGATCATAAAATCATAATTTTAACTCGGTTATTTTATTAATCAAAAAAGATTTTTATTATAAAAGTATATTTCTAACTCGCTCATTTTATTAATCCGAGAAAGATCATGATTATGAAACCATAATTCTAAACCGTCCGTTTATATTACTTTATATATAAATATTTACTAATTTTGAAATAATTTTTTTCTAATATCTTGCATGCTTTGATAATTTAATCCGCATAAGATCATAATTATAAAAAAACTTAATTTGTTCCATCAAATTATTATATAATATTAATATTTATCTATTTTTAATATATTAAATTTTAATTTGATAGAATATAATTAAAAAAATATAATAAGATATTTGTTAATTATATGTGTTATTCTGAAAATTTTATTTAAATTTCAAATGTTAAATTAAATGTAACTTATAATTAAGGAAGTCTATTTAAATTAATATCTATAAACTATAGATATAACCTATATTTACGGAAAATTTTAGTTATTTAGATTAATATCTAATTTTCGGAATTAAATTTATATATATATAAAAATATTTTTTTAAAAATTTTTGGGAGTGTTTGGAAACAAACACTAAAATTGCTTCTGTTTTAATATAATAGATACTTCCTATAAAAATTTGCGCAGTTACTTTCCACATTCGTATTCAAAAAACGGTTATGGCTATTTAGGATTTCGACTTATATATTCGTTAACTTATCAAAACAGTATATACTAATTTCGGATTTTGTGTAACAATCGGGAGATTTTAGGGATTTTTATGTTGGAAATTTTAAACTGAGAGAAAATTCTAAATACGTTAACATCAAAATCATATATCAACTTTGATTTTTGTTATGGCAATTTTGAAGAGGTTTCAATATTTACTTTTTTTTAACAAAAAAATTATATATTTCATAAAGATCTGAAAGTTTAGTATTTTCTTCTGCATCCTTCTACTACTGCTAACCAGGCACGCCTAGAGGCCCTGGACCGTAAGTATCTAACAACTTAAGACTACAGCTACAGGTAAGGCCAGACCAGTTGATTCCATTAAGATCGGCATGTTTGTTTGGTTTTGAAACCGTAATTTATTGAGCCGGTAAAGTTTAAACCTGTAATAAAATCATTGAAATAAATATGACATGTCAACGATTCAGCTTTGATTTAATTTGACGTCAAATGAAAAATTTATACTTCTATTCAATCACATGTAATAAAATTGTCAATAAAGATATCCAATGATTCATTAAAATTTCTATGTTGCCAGCCTAATATATATGTAATACTTTACTATTTTATCACCATCTCATAAACGGGTCAGAATCTAGTTTAAATATAAACTTGTTTGTTTGTATAAAAACTTATACACAATTTACAATAAAAAAAATTGAAAAGAAATTTGGGTGAACAATAGGCGGACATAATGATCGTAGATTTATTTTTATAGACGATTATATTGTCGATCCTTTCGCGTGATGCCAACAAGTGAAAAATTTCTGATTTTCATTTAGCGCCACGGAAGGGGAGAGTAGCGCCAATTTTTTCCACCTCTTTTTTTGGTTCAATTTTCACCGCTTTATTTTATGAGAGAGTTTCAGATTTAACCCATATTTCAAAGTCAAACACAAAACTAATCTCTTTTTTTTCTCTCTCCAACTTTTTTGCCATTTTCTCACAATTTTATCCTTCCCACTTAAACTATTAACGAAAATGCCATTATACATCTAATAATTCGATTTTTCTTTAATTGGCTAAAGTCTTCTTGGACCTTCTAAAGACTTTTTAATTACGAGAATGCCATCGTCTTCAATACCTTCAACCACCATGAACAACCATGAAAATGGAATAAATGCTTATCAACCAATTTTAAAGCTGTAATAAGTAAATATTTAAGCTCATTCACTCATAACCTTTCTCATTCTTTCATAATTTCTTCTCCAAAACATCTGGGCTAAGTTACAATGCCAAAAGTCATGCATTTTCGGTGATTTCTGGTTACTTAACATCTGGGTTGCTTATTTTTGGTGATATTCTGAGTTCTGGGTGCTTAAAAGAACTGTAGCTGAGCTCAATTTTGTAAAAAGTAATCGTCGCACTTCAATTTCTCCATATTTCAGTTTCATCTCGCGAAAGTAGACTTCTCGTGAAGTATACTGAAGTCTACTAGTCAACATAAGGTTATTTTTGCAATTGACTTTTAAAAAGTAGACTTCATTAAACTTCACGAGAAGTCTACTCGACATCCTTTGAAAACAAAAAAAAGCTTAGTAGACTTCGTTTGAAGGTTCAAGAAGTCTACTAAAGAAAAGAGGTTATTTTTGTAGTTGACCGTATTTTGACTTTTTGATTTAGACTTCCGTATGAAGTCTACTGCTTACGTCTGCATACGAAGTCTACTTTAAAGTTACTTTTGTATTTGACCAAAAACGTATAGGTCATTTTAGTGTTTGACTTCTGTTTTTCAAAAATTAAAAAATTTAAAAAATCCCAAAAAATTTCAGTAGACTTCCCAAAGAAGTCTACTTATTGTGTTCGGTCAAACTTGGAAGGAATCTTTTTTTAAGTAGACTTCATCGTGAAGGCTACTAAAAAAATTCAATTGCACAAATAACATATTTTGTTCCGTAGACTTCTATTTAAAAAGTAGACTTCAAAAGTAGACTGCCAGAGAAGTCTACTCTTACATGAAGTCTACAATAGAAGTCTACTATGTTAGTCAACGCATTGGTCAATTGCTAAAGTAACCTTTTTTGCCTAAAGTCTACTATTGAAGTCTACTGAAGGAAAAGTCAACAGATTGGTCAATTGTAAAAATGACCTTTTTTTAAGTAGACTTCATTAGTAGACTTCTCGATGAAAAAGTAGACTGCTCATCTAGTCTACAATTGAAGTCTACTATAGAAGTCTACTTTCTTATGTTTTTTTAAAAACGCGTTTTAAGCAAATGTATAAACTATTTTTCAAATTTTTTGGTTCAGAACTGCTTCTCAGTAAGTGATTGAACTACCCATTGAATTTTATTTCATTTCATTGGATATTTATTGTTGAATCACAAGTTTCGATTTTTTAGGTACTTAGCTTATCAAAGTAGACTTCTCCTCCAGTCTACATTCGAAGTCTGCTTTAGAAGTCTACTTTTGAATTTTTTTAAAAACGCGTTTTAAGCAAATGTATAAACTATTTTTCAAATTTTTTGGTTCAGAACTGCTTCTTAGTAAGTGATTGAACTACCCATTGAATTTTATTTCATTTCATTGGATATTTATTGTTGAATCACAATTTTCGATTTTTTAGGTACTTAGCTTATCAAAGTAGACTTCTCCTCCAGTCTACATTCGAAGTCTGCTTTAGAAGTCTACTTTTGACGTTTTTTAAAAAACGCGTTTTAAGCAAATTTATAAACTATTTTTCAAATTTTTTTGTTTAGAATTGCTTCTTATTAAGTGATTGAACTACCCAGTGAATTTTATTTCATTTCATTGGATATTTATTGTTGAATCAGGAGTTTCGATTTTTTAGATACTTAGTTTATCAAAGTAGACTTCGTCGTGTAGTCTACTAATGTTCTTTTATATGGCTTTAGATATAATGTGTTGTCTTAGGTGATAAAAATACATAACATGACCAATACACTTATGCTCATTACAAATAATGACCAATAGATACCATTACACTTGATGATCATTATCCAAAAAAAAAACACGAGGTCCTAAACCCATAATTTTTAGTATTGTTTTGATTCAAAGATTCAAAGGTTCCTTTGGAATCATTAAATTTCTGGTACATTGTTATCTTCTGCTTAATGACTATAACAAGAAAAACAAAACATCTGTATAAAATAGTATATCACCATATATATATACAAATCGAGTTCATAATCATTATAATTGATGACCACAAAATTAAGATGATATAAACCTCACAAAAAAAAAAATGAGACACAACTTCTCCTTTTCTATAATCACAAAATGAGTTTAATATCATCACTATTACATCTCATGTTTCGAAAATATCAGAATGAGAGTATCAAACAACTGTCAAGTACCCAAAGGAATAACTACTACGCAAAACAGCGAAGCAAACATACGACTAAAGTCTAAAACTGGTGTTTCAGTTTTGCCAACTTCTTTTACAGATACGATCACTAGAAGATAAAACCACAAGTGGTCCGCCCAAAAAATCCATGACCAGTGAAATGCTAACTGGTCACAGATGCTTCACAGTCCTTTTAGTGGATCAGCTGTTTTGCCTGACCTAGCATCTGTCCAAGCTTTTGCTATTGTCTTCTTCATTTCTTCATCTCCGCCCTCATACATGTTCTGCAGTTTTTTTTTTCACACCAAAATAAAGAAACCATAAGCAGGCGATGAGAGAATATTCACAAAAATGTTCCTCAGCCTCACATAAACTTAGAGGAGAGTTGCTCACCTTCATCAAGTCCATAATTCCAGCCATGGGATCTTTCTCTTTCTCAAAACTAGGTTTGATCTGAACAAACAAAGAACATTTTACCATAGCTTTAGTTTCACCAAACAAGAAAGCTCGGCCATTTATATGGTGTTCATGAGTTTTTAAGCTTTTTTACCTTATCTTCTTTGTGGTGTATGTCAACCCAGTTTCCTCTTGAAGACTTGAACATTGTGATAACTATTCTCTTAGGCTTTACAAGCACTTTACACTTCTCGGGGACAATCTCTTTGTGCAACTTGGGAATGGCACATCGGTAATTCTTCCCTTGGACATCATGGATTTTGATGTCCAAAGACATTGGCTTGAACTCAGCTTGAACCTTGTCCTGATCAACACCTTCCAAAGATATGTACATCTGTAATTAAAAAAAAAAAAATATCAAGAAGAAAACCTCATTACAAAACAAAAGAAAAGCGCCATTTGCGACCACATCCCAATTCCAAAAAGCCTCACTTTGTGACTAAACTGAGTTTTGATTTAAGAAAATTTCTGATTGGTTTACCTTGACTTTTTCATTGTCTTGATCCCAGCTGAATGTTCCGAGAGTTACATAGTTCACTGCCGGTGAAACCGGTTTAACCGAAGAAGAAACCGACGCAGGAGCTGCCACTTCGACCTCTGGCTTTGCACGTGAACTGCTTGCAGACTCTCTCAACTACAGAGAAGAAAATTTAAACTATCAGAAATCAAAGCAGAGGTTTTATACCTCAATCCAAGAGATATATTAATGATTGCTTCACCGATATTTCACTGTGAAGTGTGAACCATATCCTTTTCTTAATCAGATATCAAAGTATCAACACAACCAACTCAAAGCAAATACGAGTTTGGATGACATTACAATCCTACACAACTAAAAGAAGAAGCTTTACATTTACAAAGTCGCAGAAAATAAACTGAAACACTCTGCAGATTTTGTCTCTTTTCGATGGCTACTTACATTTTAAGAGTCAAAAGCTCAGGATCTCCAGGTCCTGTCCCAACTAGATACACAACTCCTGGTCCACAATCACCGCTTCTGCATCCTTAGAAACCGCACCAAAAAAATGAGATTCCATCTGAAACACCCAAAAACCATAAATCCATTTCATAAATAAAGATATGCAAGAAGAAAATACAAAGAAGGAAGATAATTGCATGTCGTTTTCCCTAACGAAGATGAAATGAAGATTCAACCTCAAACAAAAACTATCGAATATAACAAATCATCAAGAGATTCAAAGTGATTCACATCAAATCCAATAAAAAAAGAGTGAACAATAAAAAAAAGCTCAAGCCCACTATGTATTATTGCACAATTCATTGCCCAGAAATAATATATACTAGAAGAGAAGAAATCAAAACAAATCAAAACTGAGTTGATACCTGAAAGTTATGAAATCACGCTTAGAGATCTTTTCACCAACCGATCTGGCGAAGTTGGAGGCTGTTCGACAGAAAGAGCGACATCCAGCGGTGCGAGAAGAGTCAGATAAGTCTAGCTGGATGGTGAGAAGAGAGGCGAGAGAGGGGAGCACGAGCGGTGAGAGAAGCGAACGAGAGCGTCGAGCGATGCGCCGTTTAGGAAAGAGGGGAGAGTTTTTTTTTTCACTAAAAAATTAGGGTTACAACAAAAATATTTTAGTTAAGATATTATTTTTGGTTTAATTTTGGTTTAAATTTCGATTAGGTTAATTTATTCGGTTTAGCAGATTTCAATATAGAAGTCTACAACTTTTAAAACCTAAATAATAAATTTACTTCTACTTAATTTAAAAACATATATTTCCATTTACCAATGTGAAAAAATATTTTTTTTGCATTTGGGTTACGATTACGGAATTTATGATGGTAAATTTCATACCAAAATAATTTTTTATAAATTTTTAAATTAAATTTACAGATTTAATTACTTAGTAGACTTCATCTGATAAAATGGAATCTACTAGTAGACTTCAGTTTTACTTTAGTAGACTTCGTTAGGGAGAAAACGGTAATTAGGACATCCGTTTTTTGTTTACACATACAAGATTAAATGGTCTTTTCACTACTCCTGTAGGTTATATTTGTCAAATGTTTTTTCAGGGGTCTACTTTTGTATTCAAAATCAAGTTTTGGGTTATTTTTAGCAAAAACCCCTTATTTTATAAACGTCAGTCATATACAAATTTTATGAAAATGGATAATTTCGACCAAAAACGGAAACGGATAACTATATTAACCTTATGAATTTCTCTTTACAACATTCACGCATACTGTATACATTCATAATCAAAAGTAGTATCTAATGTGGCACAATGGTTTGAATTTCTCACCCACTTAAATTATAACGTTCTTTATTAACGTTCGACGACAAAAAAAAAATTTATAACGTTCTTTATTAAAGAATATGCTATTGCTATCAGCCAGTTTAGCAAATAAAAAGACAAACCATGGTCATCAAGTTGTATTACTCTATTTGAAGACCTATAAACTAACAATACAACTTATTGTCCACTATAAAATGTATTTACTCATTGCTTTGAATTTCTTATTATAGAATTAACTTAGACATGTTCTCACGTTTTGAAGCTTAACTTGAGTCTTTAACCCAAAAAAAAAGAAAAAAAGCTGAACTTGAGTAGAGACTTTCTTGAAATGTTAAATAGTTTGGTGACCCCATTGCTTATAAACATCTTTTATCGTTCAAAATTTGGGTAGTTTCTGTTTTTGTTTTGTGTTAGAAGTAAGAGAAAATGGAGAGTCCCCATGGGCTCTTGTTGGTCGCCCTAATAGCAACTTCCGCCATTATTCACCTTGTTCGAGCTCAAGATCCAGAAGGTACTCACATTTTAATATTTCGTTGACCCTTCTTTATAAAATATTGTCTTACTACTACAAAACTAAGTTACGATCCGATCGATATATGGGTTGGAATGACGTTGTTGGCAACGTTCTTAGGATTTCGTATAGAAATCTGACGTGACTATAAATTAGAACCTAACTTTGCAAATAAGAGAAATCCGCCAATCCATTTATTACTAATTAGTTCTGATAAAAAATTGTGAAATGGTTGTTGTCGAGATGAATGGTTTTTGTCATTTCGATGAGTTTTCAATTGGTTTTCAATTAGTTCTGATAAAAACTTTGAAAACGGAACCCGAGACCAATAATATAATTTAGTCTAGATGAATGGTTATTGCCATTTCGATGAGTTTTCAATTGGTTTAAAGCCTCATAAATCTTGATATAATTAACTGCTACGGTCCGAATCAGATTGATCATATAGTAGGATCGATTCAGTCCAGGGAATGACTCAAAAGAATTATATCTTGATCATGAGAAAACCATTAGTATCACAAGTGATGTGGGAACCCATCTCTTGGGAGCTCTCCGATCAGCTACAGATTCTTGGCCTACCGTCTAGCTAAACTTTGGTACTATCATGTACCGTCATTATCACCAACATACTTCGTTGTCTAAACCTTCCACAGTCAGAAAAACTTTCGACACAAGACACATACACTTCCCAATCGCAAAGTCACATTGAAAGCTACTCTCACAACAAACATGCAACCACACCCCCCCCTTTTTTTTTTTATGTGGGACCTTCTTCCATGTCTTCTCGAAATGATGACTATTTCGGCTAATTCATTTAGAACCAAATTCCTCTTTTATTTTGGATTGGTTATATATATATATATTATATAATTCTTATATGTATATATCTGTTTATGTTTAATAGGTTACAATACCATTTAAGTAATTGTTAATTTTTAACTCAAAACAATTTGACAATAATAAACTCATTGAGGATGTCTATTGGAAAGTTTCCAAAATTGTTTCATTTGTGAATACACTCAAACTGTAACATACACTTTAGAAATCTATTCTATTAAAACAGAAGCACATTTAGTGCTTGCATCCAAACACTCCTAAAATTTTTTTTTATAATATTTTATTTTATTTTTATATTTAATTTCCAAAAATTAGTTATTAATTTAGATATTTTTAGATTTTCTAAAATCTAGGTCATCTTTAATTTAAATTTCAAATTATTAGAAATTTAATTAAATTTAGTTACAAAAGTTTTTGCATTCAATTTAATTTATATTCAAAAAATTCAAAAAAAATATAATTAAAATTTATTACGAAAATTTAGATAATAATTTTAATACTTTAAAATTTCTTAAATACAGGAGAGATTTAATTTAAAATTTTAAATTTAAATGATATTTTTATAAAAATATATAATAAATAAATATTTTATTGTATTTTATCATAATCAATCGGTCTAAAATATCAAATATTTGAGATTAATAAATATTTATATTATACAATAATATGATCGAGCTGATTAGAGTTATATATATATATATATAAATATATTTAAGGTGCATGAGTTAATTTATTAAAACATGTAAGATATTAAGATGATTTGAGACAATTAAACTAACAGGTTAGCCAATTTATATATATATATATACATTTTTTTAATAGCACAAATAGTAAATAAATATCTTCTTATATTTTTTTATAATCAATTGGTCCAAATATTCTATATTAGTAAATATTTATAGGGTTATACAATTATAATTATAGTCTTATACGGGTTAGTTTGTCAAAACATGTAAGATATTAAAAATGATTTAAGATAACTAAACGGATGGATTAGCAAATTCATAGATATATAGATTTTTTATGTGTAAATTTAAATTCACATAATAACAAAGTTTATTGGCGGGTCACTAGTTTATTGGAATATCTCATTTAGTTTAATTTGGATATAACACATTAACACCACTGGGTGTAAACACTTAAGAGCAACTTTACTATCAGTTAATGAGCTCTATATCTTAACAGGGTTCATCAGTTTGGATTGCGGGTTACCCCCGAATGAAGTGTCTCCTTATATACATCCGGGAAGTGGGTTAACATACTCATCAGACTCAGCCTTCATTCAAAGTGGAAAAATTGGAAGAATTGAAAAAAAGCTAGAGGAAACGTACAAAAAGATGGTGTGGACGTTGAGATATTTTCCAGATGGAAAACGCAACTGTTACAGTTTCAACGTCAAGCAAGGAACAAACTATTTGATTAGAGTCAGATTTGTCTATGGAAACTATGACGGTGATAACAATAATCCAATTTTTGATTTACACATAGGCCCTAATTTCTGGTTGTCAATGGATTTGGGGGATATGAAAGATGGTAGTACATTGGAGGATATCATTCACACTCCAAGATCAAACTTCTTGGATGTTTGTCTTGTTAAGACAGGCACGTCCACGCCATTTATATCGTCGTTGGAACTAAGGCCTCTACCAAATAACAGTTATATCACGACATCGGGTTCATTGAGATTTTGGACGCGGTACTATATTACCGATTCAAAAGCCTTTATAACGTAAGTCAACTTATTTGCTTTATGTATTGGCATTGATTTTGAAATCCATACATAACTTTATGTTATTCAATCATATTAAGAAAGTGTATTGTATATATAGATTATGATTAAAATTAATAGTCGATGTTATACAAACCATATATTTCTATTGGAAAATTCATTATGTTTTTTTTTTTTTTTGGTTTTTTAAATCTTTATAATTTTGAAAATCTTTTAAACTATACAACCGATCATGAATCATTCATATAGACAACGTTTGATAATACAAAATTCTGGTAATGGCAGGTACCCAGGAGATGCCTATGATCGATTATGGATCCCATACCTTAACTCGACATGGAAGAAAATCTCGACCACACTTAAAGCAAACAACACTGGTAGCTTTAACTTGCCGCAGGTTGCTGTCACAACCGCTGCAACACCCGCGAATGCGAGTGAACCATTGATATATACTGACTTTCTTCCGTTTCCCAACGATAAAATTTTCTTCTTCCTCCACTTCTCCGAGGTTCAAGTCTTAGGGGCAAATGAGACACGAGAGTTCGACATTTTTTGGAATGGAAAAGTTATATCTGAGAGTTTTAGGCCTATATATATGCAACCCAAAACTGTATACAACCCGTATCCAGTTACTTGTGAAGAAGGGAAGTGCGTCTTAGAGCTGAAAAAAACTCGAAGGTCTACTCTCCCACCTCTGCTTAACGCCATCGAAATTTACATTGTTGTCGACACTCCACAGTCTGAAACAAATGAAAATGATGGTATGTTAGCAAGTGTTATTGGTTTGTTGCATGATTTCGAGTACATATTAAAGTTTTGAAATCATAACATATATATGCTAAATCTAACATACAGTCGAATTTTATGCTAGTTCTTACTGTCAGAAACATCAAAGCCACCTATGGATTGAATAGAATCACATGGCAAGGAGATCCATGCGTCCCAAAACAGTTTTTGTGGGACGGTCTAATTTGCAACATCGTAGATACGTCTACACCACCGACAATTACTTCCTTGTGAGATCTTTATATCACATGTACACTAAAAATTTGTTAGAAAACATTTCTTATGTGCATTGCACTTGTATGAACAGAAACTTGGCTTCAAGTGGGTTAACAGGAACCATAGCCGATGGAATTCAAAATCTTACCTATCTAGAAAAGTTGTAAGTACGATCATTAAATTTTTGCTGATCAAAGGGAAACTTTCATACATGGAAATATTAATTACTTCGTGAATTTTTCTTCCAAATTTCAGGGACTTGTCAAATAATAGTTTGACTGGTGTAGTGCCGGAATATCTAGCAAACTTGAAATTCTTGACGCTCTTGTAAGTGTCTTGACATATAATTTGGGGGTAGTATTACTCTTTCTCATGTCTCATAGGTATAAATATTTAACAGAAACTTGAGCAACAACAATCTGAACGGTTCAATTCCGCAAGCTCTTCGTGATAGAGAAAAGAAAGGACTTAAGATTATGTAAGACGTAACTCCTCAAGCTCACATTTTCATTTGAAAATATCACTCTACTAGTGCATTCAGAACACTAAAATACTGATTTGGTTTCGTTTTGTTATGTTTGATAGTTTTGATGGAGATGATAAAAAGCCATGTTTATCTGGCTCATGTAAGAAGAAATTTCCGGTGCTGATTCTTATTGTAGTAGTTGCTTCGGTGATCGTGGTCATCATTGTGGTATTGGTTCTCGTTTTTGTTATCAAAAAGAGAAATGCATCTAGTAACGTGGAAGGTATCCTCCAAAGACTCGTCATAATAATTCAACATATATGTCGTTCCTGTACTAAATTTTACCCTGCAGCTCTACCACCGTCATCAACTACGCCACGTGAAAATGTTACACCCACTGGAATATCTGATTCATCTATCAAGACAAAAAAGAAACGGTTTAGTTATTCAGAAGTTATGGAAATGACAAAAAACTTGCAAAGACCACTTGGTGAAGGAGGGTTTGGCGTCGTCTATCACGGTGATCTAAATGGTTTACAACAAGTAGCTGTAAAAATAATATCCCAATCATCAGCACAAGGCTATAAAGAATTTAAAGCAGAGGTTTGAAATGCTTTAGATTTTCTTGAAAATTCTAAAGAAAAAATCAAAACAAAATTGGTTTAACAGGTTTTTATATAGTATATGTTTCACCAATGTGTTTGATATGTTTTTCACTGTTGGTTTACAGGTAGAACTTTTGCTAAGAGTTCACCATATAAATTTGGTAAGTCTTGTCGGATATTGCGATGAACGAGATCATCTAGCTCTTATCTACGAATACATGTCCAATGTAGACTTAAAGCATCATTTATCAGGTGAAACACATTTACATCTGATATTAGGATATTTAATTTTAAGATGCAAAAAAAAAACACATATGATAACATATTTTGGCTATATCAAATACAGGAAAGCATGGTGCTTCCGTTTTGAGTTGGAGTACCCGACTACGAATAGCCGTTGACTCTGCACTAGGTTCTTACTAACTCGGAAAAGTTTCTGTCACTTTTTTTTTCCATCGCAAATAGTTCAAATATTGATTATTGAATATAAATGCTTTCAAATAGAAAAGTAAAAATATGCAAACATATTAATCTTTACAAAGTCGTTAAATCATATGCACTATTTTCAATTAGTTGTGATGGTTTTGAATTTCAAATATTAATTTGGATATCTTCGTTTCAGAAGGATTTCAGATTCCTATAACAATATCTTGGCTTTAGACATAAAATAGACATTTACCTATATGTTTATAGGATTGGAATATTTACATATCGGATGCCGACCATCCATGGTGCACAGAGATGTCAAAAGTACTAATATATTATTGGACGAGAAGTTCACAGCCAAAATTGCAGATTTCGGGCTTTCAAGATCTTTCCAACTCGGGGAAGAATCTCATGTTTCGACAGTTATTGCTGGTACTCCTGGATATCTTGATCCCGAGTAAGTACTTTTCCTTCACTCTTGGTGTCAACATTTTTTTAATATAATCGATGATCATACACCGACGTGCACACTAATACTAGATGTGAAGTTCACAACACCACAACATACTGAAAAGTATGTTTGCGTTCATTTTAGTTGGTATAATTAATACACATACATATGTTTCATGTTTTGCCTTATTAGATATTACAGAACAGGTCGGTTGGCTGAGATGAGTGATGTCTACAGTTTCGGAATTGTATTATTGGAGATAATCACAAACCAACGTGTAACTGACCATACCCGGGAAAAGTCTCATATAACAGAATGGACAGCGTTTATGCTTAATAGAGGAGATATTACCAGAATCATGGATCCTAAACTTAACGGCGAATACAACTCTCGTTCGGTCTGGAGAGCTCTTGAGTTGGCCATGTTGTGCGCAAACCCTTCATCGGGAAAACGACCAAGCATGTCCCAGGTTGTTGTCGAACTAAAAGAGTGTCTTATTTCCGAAAACTTGATGAAGAGACAGAATCAAGATATGGATTCACAAAGTTCCTTGGAAATGAGCATGAGCTTTGATACCAAGGATTTCCCTAGTGCAAGGTAGTATTTACAAAGAAGCCTTGTTTCCTTCGATGTAATTGGGTTTGTGGTATTGTTCTTTTGTCAGAGGAGTGCTTCATTTTTGTTTGAAGACATAATATCACTAAACGAGACGAAAAAAATTTCTACCACCACATTTTGATCTTACATAGTTACATTCTCTCTTTTATTTGTACATTGTTTGTTTGGACTTTGTGAAGTTACCTTCCGTATTTATTTATGTATTTTTATGCAAACCGATGCAAATACTATTTATGTTCTTTTATCACAACCCTGTACTTAAATAAAATTTAAATCCAATATAATAAATTCTAAAACTTAAAAGCCTAAACCCTAATTTAATCACGTGACATTGTTTGAATATAGAAACGGATACAAATATGGAAAAATTGGATAAGTAAATCTAAGAGCACGTCCATTGGGGTATCAGTTCAGGATCGTCGCCCAAAATCCAGTGCAGAATCGATTTTTTTTTAAAAAAATAGGTCTTTTTTTGTGATACCGTCTCTTCCGGACGAATCATGATATGGTATCATCCAGATATCATCCACACGTGGCGAATTCTAATTAGTCAAAAATTTTGGGGACAAATTTTTTTTTTGGCATCGGGCATTTTCTCTTAGCCGACGCCAAAATCTTTTGGCATCGAGTTTCAATCTTTTTGGTCGAATTCGATTCATCATCATCTCCTTCCACCATTTGCGATCCTTCCTTCATCGGTATAGTTTTTCTCTTTCTCAATTTCATCTGTTTCCTCCTCTTTCGTGTTGTGTTGAACTCGATCAAGGAGACTTGGCAATCACCGCGGCGAGAAGGCAATGGAGGCCGAGGACCAATCAGAGTTTGTCGAATTTGTTGTGTTTTAATTGGGGAAATTCTCTATTCGATAAGGATGACCCCGAAGCTCTGCTCGAAGGAGTCGCCATGGCTGGCCTCGTTGGCATTCTACGTCAACTCGGTGATCTCGCTGAGTAAGTTTCTCCATTCTCATTTTCGTTTCATTTCTCCCTTGGTGTTGTGAAATTTATGATCAGAGTTTGACTTATTTGTGATGAAGGTTTTTCCATGACTTGCACTAAGAAGTAATGGCGACTGCTTCTAGAAGCCACGCTCTTATTGCTCGTATACAACAGCTGGAAGCAGAGTTCCCTTTCGTAGAGATGGCATTACTGTGTCAAACCGATCATTAACCATTTTTCTCTTATAAAGGTCGGTCCTTGATCCTTACTTTTGTGGTATTAGGTTTTTTTTTCTTGCAAATCAACAAATCGGAGATGCTTACAAAGCAATACAATCGAACATAGCTTGGTTTTCTTATACTGATTAGCAAGATTTTAAGCCAGTTTGTCTTGGAATTACCAATTTTCGAGTTCGCAAAAATTCAAGCCATGATCATGACAAGAGCTCTAGAATCAGTTTGATGTGATGACAGGATCGAGTAGATAAACTCAGGTAACCCTCAACTTCTTTATATTCTCTCTGCCTTCCACCTTGAAGCACATTGTCGGATGCATGATTTCTCTAAACTCTGAGCTTCATTTGTCTGCATGTGATTCTTAGCTCAAGTATATAAATCACCTAAAATTTAAAAATAGAATACCATATGAGAGCATTTCTTTCATCAAATGGCACTCTGAAGTGAGCATCGAGTAAAAAGAAAACTAGCCAAAATCTTGATTTGCTGTCTGTAGAATTACATGTTTTCTACTTGTTGATGAGTTTTTTTTTATACACTTTTGTTCTAATCTATTCATTCGCAGAAACTTGAGTCCCTTTTAAACACAGAAGCTGCAGAAGTGTTATCACAGCCAAGGATTACGTGTGATATAACAATACGCAAAAATTCAGTAACTTGATGAATGTCTCTCCTTTTAAGATCACAAAACACTCCTTCTCTCATATGAAATAGTTCTCAGCTTCTAGTAGTTTTCAAAGCAGACATGTCTGCAGTTTCTGCTCTTTATATATAAGAAATTGTAATCTTGTTTTATAATCTTGTTTTTAATTTTATGTAGTGAATTGTAATCTTGTTTTATAATAAACATGTGTTTAAATTTATTACCAAAACTAAAAATTTTGAATTTAAAGAAAAATATATTTTTTTTTATTTCTGATGAACCTCATTTTCAGGTTCACTAATAGAACCAATAAATTAGCACAGATTCTTCCCAAAACTAAAAACTATAAAATAATAATTTTATATTTCAATGAACCTCTCTTAAGGTTCAGTGTTGTACATGCTCTAGTAAAATTTTCAACATTCTGGATAAAAGATATAAAATGGAATGTTAGTGTATCTATATATAGAACAACGTGCTTCTAATTAAAATGACTTGTACAATTTTAAAAGAATTTATGTCCGTTTTTGAAAATTAAAAAAACCATGTAATTGGCACAAAAATTACATTTTTTCGAGTTTAATTTTTTTTTTTAAAAGAAATGGAATGCAAATAAGATGAGAGCGGACGAAAAAAACTTTATAAACAAATAAATAAAAAGAAATATAAATGAAGAAAGTTTAAAAGTACTACATACAATGACCGGCTATATATAAATTTTTATCATGTTTAATTTATCGTTGTCGCCTGATTGGTGTTGTACCGGCCATATTCATTGAGGCGGTAAACAAAGGGTACGAATTGGCAATACAAAATAGATATTTGTACCGCCATTATTTTGTAACGGTACGAGTATTTTTATTTAAGTTTACTTTTATTTTAAATTTGAGAAGTTTATTATGCAGCCTAATAAAAGCTTAGGCTTCTTCTATTTAAATACACGTATCGCAGACTCTTTAGTTTGCTTATATATTCAACTAAAACATTAAATGCCATTGTTTCTAACTTCTAGTAAGAAATTTAGTCGCTACCATAAATACATGCACCAGTATTTAGAAACCACATTGTTATAAACAGATAAAGATTATATGACAAAGCTCTTCCATGGGAACAGAGAAAGATTACAAAAAAAAAAAATTCTGTAAGATAATCATAAAATTAGGTGCCATATTACGGAAAATAAAAGAAAAAAGAATTACCTATCGAAAAGCTTTGATAGGAGACTCGATACCTGTAAATAAATCGATGCTGTATATAAAGTAAACTCATCTCAAGTCCACTGCGACATCTAAATTCATTATGCAATTTTTTGGACTTGAAATGGACAGACTACATTAATTCATTTCCATTTAATTTTGAATTGGAAACGTATAAACCTTGGATGTTATCAAATTATCTGGCACAGAATAAACACACTAACATGTTATCAAATTACATGGCACACAATAAACACACTAGCATGATCAGTTACAGCCCTAAATTTAGCTAAGATCTGGTCGTTTAATATGGATCTCAGGATTCTTCTGTAAATTCTTTAACTTTGGGACAGTAAGTCTTCTTCTAGTTCTGACAGAAAGTATTCAAGAAAAATACTAGAAACATAACAGAAGAATCTCAGGTGCAATTTTCAACACATGTTATTGTCTGTACAGGATACTTCTATTATACTTAGCATTTTTATACATTAACTATTCTGACTCTATAGCATCCACATCAAAAACATGTTGAGATTAAGGAATGATCAAATCATGATTCAAAAATAGGCTAATTATGCGATTCAATCAATCAGAGATTACAAAAAGACCTCAAGAAAACTGAATAAATAAAGTATCATTATAAGAAAAAAAAATGATGAAAGCTCTACAACGACGTCATGAGACTCTCTATGTGATTTGGTATAACAAATAAGTCAGAAGAAGATCGAATCCAACTTCATTGAGTTGCCTAAGATCGTCACCTGAAATTCCTCCAAGCTTAACTTGTCTTATACTGTTTTTCTTGGGATCAAAATAAGCAACAGAGAACGATTCATACAAACTCTTTTCTGCCTTTACTGTATGAATAATTTTACCACCCTCACCAGCTCTGCGTTGATGAGCATAGGCTGGTGTATAAATGTAAATAAACTCACCAGCATCAGTAACACCTCTCAACTTCCATTTCCGATTAAGAGGAGTATTAATGTATCTGGTTTATGTAAATACTAGATTTTACCCCGTGCATTCGCACGAGATTTTATCAAATTCTGTAATGTAATTTATGATCTTTTGTAGATATAAATTTCAATAAGTGATAAAGATTCATTTTATGTTTATATATGTAATTTATATTTAAATTTTTTTGTTAGTATTATTATGACCGCGAACATAAAAACATAATTATAATCCGATCATTCTAATAATCGAAAAAGACAGTTATTATAAAAACATGATTTTAATTCATTCATTTTATTAATGCGAAAAGACTGTGTTTATAAAACATAATTCCAACATATCTGTTCATATTACTATATAATAACATATGTACTAATTTTGAAATATTTTTAGCTTAATATCTTGCATGTTTTGATAACTTAACTCGCATAAGACCACAATTATATAAAAAAAACCTAATCCATCCCATCAAATCACTATATAATATAAATATATTTATCAATTTTCAATATGTAAAATTTTTGACTGATTGATTATGATTAAAAAAAACAATAACATATTTGTTAATCATATGTTTATTATGAAAATATTATTAAAATTCAAATGTTAAATTAAATTTAAACTATATTTAAAGAAGCCTAAAGTAATTTAACTTAATATCTAACTTTTTAGACTTAAACTTAATTGTAATTTTTTAAATATTTTAAATTTTAAATTAAATATAATTTATATTAAGAAAATCTTTAATTATCTAAATTGATATCTAATTTTCGGAATTACTTTATATATATATATATATATATATATTTTAAATAATATCGCAATAAAATAGGATAATCTCAAAACAATTTTTAAATAATTATTTTTTTTTAAAAATTTTGAAAGTGTTTGGATGCAAGCACTAAAAGTGCTTCTGTTTTAATATAATAGATTAATGTATCTGGTTTATGCAAACCAGAAAGTCAAAACGTTGGTTAGATGTAAACCGGAATCTTTTTACCAGAAAGTCAAAATGTTGGTTAGATGTAAACTGGAGTCTTCTTGTATATAAGAGACTTTCTTGTAATCATTGACTAATAATAACGATGAATAACAGAATCTTTTCACCGACTTTTCTCTCTCATCTTCTTCCTTCTAACATGGTATCACAGAGTTGAAATCAAAATTTCAATACGATCCAATCTTTTTTTTTTCGCATTTTCTTGACCTAGATCTTTTGAAAATTCCTCCGATAGATCCTTTCTGTGCTTTCTCTCGGTTATTCCACCGATTTCAAGCTCCATTTTCGGGTTATTCCACCTGATTTCTTCAAGATGGTTACACTTCGCCGATCTTCTCGACGCATAGCTCGCAGAACAGCTTCAACCTCATATTCGAACAAATTCGCAGCTACACGAAGAACCTCGACAAATTCCACCTATTCCGGTAACAATCTCAGCAAGTCCACCTCCGGCAACTATTCCGACGCCGTCTTTCGTCGATCCAGGCACCGTTCATCAAATTTTCCCGCAAATGAGCTTTGACTTCGAAGAAGTTCAATACTCACCATACTTCTTGACCAGCTGTGATAATCCCGGCATATCGATTATATCTGAGGTAGAACTAATTTCAATACTTGGAACCAAGCAATGACAATTGCATTAGATGCAAAGAATAAACTTGCCTTTGTTGATGATTCATTTCCTCGTCCACCGGAATCTCATCCTCATTATCGAATCTGGTCTAGATGCAATAGTATGGTGAAATCCTGAATATTGAATTTGATATCAAAGCAGATCTATGGTAGTATTCTTCTTTCCATGATGCTTCTAAAATGTGGAAAGATTTGACAACTATATTTCATGTCACAAATCTACCAAGATCATACCAAATTACACAAAAAATCTGGTCTCTCCAACAAGGTTCTACTGATCTCTCCACATACTACACAAAATTGAAAACATTATGGGACGATCTTGATGGAGCAGATTGTGTAAAGACGTGTCGAACCTGAAATTGTTGCAAATCCACAGCAACCAAGGCAGAACACACGAGGATCATCAAGTTTCTAGCTGGCTTGAATGAATCATACACTCATCTCGAAGTCAGATAATAATGAAGAAAAACGTACCTGATCTTGCAGAGGTGCATAATTGATAAGTGGTGATTTTGACTCATTCTAACCCGTGTTTACTGATCTTTTAAGGAGTCTTTGGAGTCTTCTTCAGGTTGTTTCAGGTATCTAGGAGGCCTTAAGCAAGGATTGGAGCAGCTGGAGCTTTTAGTGCAAAAAGAGTTGAAGCTGAGCAAAAGAGCCCAATTCACACACAGATGGATCATTTTTAGTCGGAGCACCTGCTGCCGACTAACCCCTTTCGTGGAGAACCTGCTCCAACCTCCGGAGAAAAATAAGGAAAGCGATATTTACCTAGTTCTGGGATGCAAGGAACAGAATAAAAAGAGGAAGCCGCCTCAGAAACAACACACGTTTTATCACGCTTTATTTTTTACATTCTCTAGACCTTTTGGAGTTTTGGCTTGTAAGATTTGGGAGAAGAATTCCTGCAACACTTGAGAAGAATTCTGAACCCTTTGTTATCTCTGAGTTTTATTCATGAATTTTTTTTCATCTCTTGCTGTTTTTCTTTTTGCCATGTCTGAGTAGATTATCTAGCTAGATTAAGGTTTTTCAAGAGATTTTCATGAGTTAGTAAATTGAATACAAATATGGATTAATATAGATTGTCTTCACCATTGTTATTCTTAATGCTTAAATTGAATTGATCACTCAATCTGTGATTTTTCCTTAGCCAACGACAGTTGATGTTAAAGCAAATCGTGAAAACCTGCTTGTTAATGCTTGTCTGTGATTTCTAGGTTCAAACGACAGTTTAGAATTTAGGTTGTTAGACAAAGTTGTCGATGCCACAACAGTGGCTCGATATGCATTTATATTTGAGTTCGAGACTTGCGTTTAACTGTGCCTTGAATAGTCATTCGATTTCTATCTCTGAAATTCCTGCAAATTGCCTTAATCTAGTGTTTGTTTTAATCAAATTTTAATCGTCATTTGTTTTCTTTTACCTGT